CTCAGTCAAATGTTTATATTTGAACTGCGCATTTTCAACGAGATGAACTATTTAAAGGAATGACATCCTAAGTTCGCGACCAACAGATACATTTTTGAAGCTTACCTTTTTGGGTCATTGCAATCAAAAGGATTTTATCGTCGAAAAAAGATCAACTTTTTCATGAATAATCCCAGCTCTTCTGGACTTTTCCTAAAGTTAAATACTTATATACAAATTTATTGATCTGACAGTAAAAGGCGCTTGTTTCCCTCTTAAAAGATTGAGTATTGAAAGTAATCACGTTTTACGATTAATTATCTCAAAGGTCACTTTAATGAAAAGGCTTTACAAAATAAAAGCGCAACAATTTCTTGGGAATTTATGTTTGTGTTCCTTGAACGACTAAATAAATACTGTTTAACCTTGACTTGACTTTATCCTTGAAATTTTTGATATTTTTCCTGAGGAGATTTTAAAACATTTCTCGTCATTATCATGATTACAATATTGTTTCAAACCTTATCAGTAGTCCAAGAGTATATTTATACCTGGAGAGAATTTAACTTGAATAATTACATGCTTGAATGTTCAGATTATTTACTGAAGTAGTGATGCCTCTAAAAGTATTACTGGTACTTCAGTAAATTGACTGCCTTAGCTGTCAATAAGGCCGTGAGCCAAGCGTTTCTGACTTCTGTAGACGAGAATCTCAACATTCTAATACTCCCATCAACCTGGGAAATCTTAATGCACATGGAGTTCTGAACAGTCAAAGACGTGACACTGGACATCATTATGATCTCGGAGAACACCAGCACTTCTTCCCTCTTCTCATAACAGTATAGCTTATCTTCCAACAGCACAAAGCGTCTCCTATGCCAACTTGGTCTTCTTCTGAACACAGCGCATTCTTTCAGCCGGCAAAAATCTCCTTCTTGAGACGATACCAAACTACTGAAGTTGTTGTTTATAAAACGATAAGATGGAGGCGAATACGGAAGGCAGCTCTTTCCTTTTGTTAGTTTTTTCTTCTGCTTCAGCAAAGGCTCTTTCCAGAATTTCGGTTTTACCCGCCAAAGGCAGGTTTCACTGCGTGCCTTGTAAAGCTTCTCCATAACTGATCAATAAAATTTTGCGGGTGAGGTGTACTATGTCGAGGTAATTTACCCTGTTAAGATTTAAGCGATATCCACACAAATGAACAGAAAGACGCACCGAAGTTAAATTTGTAAACGACCCAACCCGCTTTAATTTGTCTCGCAGAGAATTAGCGGAAACCCCTTAGGCACGTACTTAAAAACCGTTTAAACACTCTCTACTTCTTTCTACTATCACGTTACGCGGGTTACGTGTTTTTGCGTGGTTCCAGAATTTTCCGCAAACGTCAATTTTCCATATTATTGCCCGATCTTTGAAGTTGACCTGACCTTCAGTCAACGTAAATACTATTTGTTATCATTGTGAAGATTCTTGACTAAATCTGATGTTGAAAATCTTGATTAGATAACGATTGAATCTTGACCAAATTGCAGCTTCTTTATCTCCGGAGAGCTATGTGTTCTTTTTTCTGGTCGTCAAGTACTGAGAGAATTTCTTCGTCAGTTGGGCGAAGACAGTGTAAATAATCTGGCGGTCATCGCGATTTGGTGAACAATACTATACGCTGCTTCTTTGTTTTCCTATTAACGTACGCTTGTGAGATTTCAAAGGTAAACAGATTACCTCAGAATCCTCGTCACGCAACTTTGGAAAGTAAACAGTTTTAAGAGTAAACGGTTACGGAACACGTGCAGTCATGTCGTTGAATTTCTTCAGTAATTGAATCTACTGGAACTTTCATGGAATTCCTACTGTCCCTTTGCAAGCCACATCATAAAAAAACTTGGACAGAAAGACTTCTCGTTCAAAGAGCTACAACTTTCCAGTGGGAAAGTTCGTTATGTTTTATGTTACGTTATGTTTTAGGCATGTGTGAGATGAAACTTTATTGATATTTCCGTCGTCAATTCTTCTCAAATTGGTCAAATTGATTTTATTTTTTTCGATATACACCACTGAATCTCTTCATATAATTTCCAAAAAAATTATTTGCGTTTCGGGTCAAGTGCAGGCGACAGCAGTGACTCACGAAACTTAAACTGAACTCAAGTCTACGAAAGAGGCCTTTCTCGTTTTAATGCCGGGAATGACAGTGATCACAGACTAGAAATGTTTCTGAGAATTATGAGGGAGTATGGTTTATGGGAATGTTGTGATAAGTCAACAGTGCTATTGCACTTTTTTTCAGCTTAAAGCAATTCCTTGGCTTATCCTTCCTATCCTGCGCAAAAATTTCTAAAATTAGCGACCACCCGCGATTACGTATCAAGGTGCCCTGTTATCGATAAACCATCTGATAGAATAGGGTAACTAAGTATTACCAACTGAGTTGATAACGTAAATTGGCCACCGTAATGAGTTTAAAAGCTAACGTTTCGAGCGTTAGCCCTTCGTCAGAGCTATTGAAGAAGGGCTAACGCTCGAAACGTCAGCTTTTTTACTCTTTACGGTGGCCAATTTACGTCATCAACTCAGATAATAGTACTTGATTACCCTGTTATACTCTCCCACCAGCGCTGCTCCACAGTTTCTTATAAAGACGTACCCCCATTTATTCATTGAAAAGAATAGCCGCCTTCTCCTGAACGAGGTCATCGCCTTATCTTGTTTTGAAAATAATTCCATTCTTTCATTATCTCCCGTTGTGCTGTAAAACTAAAAAGGTGGTTTTGTGACAAATAAAAGGTTGCAAAAATTAAACAATTTTCTTCAAGTGAGAGGACCATTTGATCATTATGAAAAACTTCCTTGCACATTTTAGGATCAAGAATAAGTTCCCCACGAGATGAGGGTGAATGGGGGGGGGGGGGGGAAGGGGTGAGGGAAGGGGGGAAGGGGGTGAGGGAAGGTGGAGGGAGGGGGGTGGGGAAAGGGCTCGGACGAGAAGTAAGGTAGCAGATGCAGTTTTTACCTCTAACATTTATCGAACTAGGCCATTTACTAAGTTATTTACTGAAATAAAAATCAATTTAAATGTTCTGTTTTTAATCTACTACATTTTCAAGGTTACCAATTCATTGCAAAATAAAACAGTGTCTCATAACTGAAGAGTCTCCAGCCGTATCATGAGACAACACTAAAAAAACACGCTAAAAAACATCTAACCAAGGAGAACATTCAGCCATGTGGTTTGATCATCCAAATAACAGTTGTCACTTTTCAAGGACCAGAATTGAACTTAAAACTCCTCATTTGATTGTGATGATAACTTCTTTTCATGTCTTTGAAACCAAAGCCATTGTCACTGTCAAGATTTTGGACTACTTCCATCTGGATGATCAAAGCATATGGTTAATGTCACTCCAAAGTTCCAACAATGTATAACGATAAAAATATATAGAGTATAGTTCCAATGATATAATAGCCTTAATGACTAATGTAATGGCCTGTTAGTCTAAAACTTGACACAAGTTCCACTTTGGAATATAAGAAAAGAATGCTACATCATCTGCATATCTTTTAGAAATACTGATACTTTAGGCTAAAGTTTAGAAATGCATAACGAATATATAACTGAATTATATGGGAATGTTAAAACATCCAAACACACTACTCTACATTGAGTTTGGTGATAACAAATAACAGTGTACTGCAGTTCTTATCTTAAAATACGCATCTTATTAAAAATCATAAAACAACTATGATACAAAGTTCCAGAGTACCAGGTTAAAGGGGTTTTTGAAAGAGCTCTTGATTCCTCGATGGGACAGTTTTAACCCTCTAACTCCCATAAGTAACCAAGACAGAATTTCTCCTTACAGTATCAATACAATATCAAACAGACAAGTTATGAGAATAAAGAAAAATATCAACAAGGGAAATATTGGTTGATCCAATACCAAATTCTCTAAATTAACATCAAAAGAGTTGTATGACAGACAGTAAGGAGAATTACTGATGAGATCTTGGGAGTGAAAGGGTTAAAGCTCTACATTTGAGTTAATATATGATTGAATGAAATTACAACTTGATGACAGAAGCCTGAAGGGTGAAAAATTTGAACTTAACCCTTTAACCCCATTAGAGTGACTAGCATCTAATTTCTCCTTACAATATCACCCTTGAATCACATATTAAGGTCATGAGAATAACGGAAATGATCAACAACTACAGAAGCTCTTGATCGTTCAGCTAATTCTCCTTGTCAGCACCTCAGGAAATGTATAGAGAACAGTATGGAGAATATGAATACTGATGTTAGGGTGTAAAGCTATGTTAAATTTGTGATAACATCGTGTGCAGGTGATCTATTTTATACAATCAAAGAGGGAATCGATAGGCCTTCCTAGATTTGTTCCTTCTCTCGCGGTATTATGAATTAATTATTATCCAGTCTTACTCAATATTGTAAAATTTTATCAATCGTTTCTTTTCGCGACTATGGACCTAAACGACGTTTCAGGCCATAAACACCCCAACCCCAACTATGTTCACGGTTATATTTTATCAATCAACTCTTCTCTTCGCGTTATTATTTGTTCTCCAAAAAAAAAAAACACGTTTCTGACCGTATAATAACCAAGTAGTTTACCAGTACTGTGCTTAATATTGCCACTCGAGATCATACAAGTCGAATTAAAGGCGAAAAAAAAAAGGAAAACAAAAAACACCAATAGTTTGCCAAATAATCTTGACTTAGCGCTTGTTCAATGACGAACATACTTTCCGCCAAGAAAGCTTTGTATCTTTGCCTAATCGACAAAAAACTCTCGCAAAGAATGTTGTAAAACGGGCAATATAGGTAAGGCTTTAAATTTCTGTAACTATTCAGCTTTTTGGTGACTACAGTCAACATTATGTCAGTAAAAGTGAGATTTACTTCAAAATTCATAGTTCGTGAGCATGCATCCCGGTAACACTCGTGCGGTGACAAGCGGTAGTCGTTTAAAGCCTTTAAAAGGAGCAGTAAGAAATAAAAACTAATGTCCTCCCTTGCTAAGTAGGAAGGTTACGGCCTCAGTTTTGCCATATGTTTTTGCGATTTTTAACGGTGTGCGACCTGCAAAATCTTTTGAATTAACATCCAAACCAAGTGACAGCATTTTTGTGATGATGGCGACATTACTGCCCGTTGAAGCGGCGTGCAGTAAATTTCTTTCCAACAGGTCTCTAATATAGGGATCGGCTCCCTTGTCTAAAAGATAATTTACAGCTTCAATCTTGCCACAAGCTGCAGCCAACATCAATGGTGTCCTTCCTTCACTATCTTTTGAATCGACATAAAGACCACGTGTGATTAGTGTCTCGATGATGGTGACATTACCACCCTGTGAAGCGACGTGTAGTAAATTGGTTCCTAACTGGTCTCCTATACAGGGATCGGCTCCTTTGTTTAAAAGATAATTTACAGCTTCAATCTTGCCACAAGCTGCAGCCCACATCAATGGTGTCCTTCCTCTACTATCTTTTGAATCGACATCTAGACCACGTGACATTAGTGTCTCGATGATGGTGACATTACCACCCTGTGAAGCGGCGTGTAGTGAATTTATTCCTTTCTGGTCTCTAATACAGGGATCGGCTCCTTTGTCTAAAAGATAATTTACAGCTTCAATCTTGCCAAAAGCTGCAGCCAACATCAATGGTGTCCTTCCTCCACTATCTTTTGAATCGACATCTAGACCACGTGACATTAGTGTCTCGATGATGGTGACATTACCACCCTGTGAAGCGGCGTGTAGTAAATTTCTTCCTGACTGGTCTCTAATACAGGGATCGGCTCCTTTGTCTAAAAGATAATTTACAGCTTCAATCTTGCCACAAGCTGCAGCCCACATCAATGGTGTCCTTCCTTCACTATCTTTTGAATCGACATCTAGACCACGTGACATTAGTGTCTCGATGATGGTGACATTACCACCCTGTGAAGCATCGTGTAGTGAATTTCTTCCTGACTGGTCTCTAATACAGGGATCGGCTCCTTTGTCTAAAAGATAATTTACAGCTTCAATCTTGCCACAAGCTGCAGCCCACATCAATGGTGTACTTCCTCCACTATCTTTTGAATCGACATCTAGACCACGTGACATTAGTGTCTCGATGATGGTGACATTACCACCCTGTGAAGCGGCGTGCAGTGAATTTATTCCTGACTGGTTTCTAATACAGGGATCGGCTCCTTTGTCTAAAAGATAATTTACAGCTTCAATCTTGCCAAAAGCTGCAGCCCACATCAATGGTGTACTTCCTTCACTATCTTTTGAATCGACATCTAGACCACGTGACATTAGTGTCTCGATGATGGTGACATTACCACCCTGTGAAGCGGCGTGTAGTAAATTTCTTCCTGACTGGTCTCTAATACAGGGATCGGCTCCTTTGTCTAAAAGATAATTTACAGCTTCAATCTTGCCACAAGCTGCAGCCCACATCAATGGTGTCCTTCCTTCACTATCTTTTGAATCGACATCTAGACCACGTGACATTAGTGTCTCGATGATGGTGACATTACCACCCTGTGAAGCGGCGTGTAGTAAATTTCTTCCTGACTGGTCTCTAATACAGGGATCGGCTCCTTTGTCTAAAAGATAATTTACAGCTTCAATCTTGCCACAAGCTGCAGCCAACATCAATGGTGTACTTCCTCTACTATCTTTTGAATCGACATCTAGACCACGTGACATTAGTGTCTCGATGATGGTGACATTACCACCCTCTGAAGCGGCGTGCAGTGAATTTATTCCTGACTGGTCTCTAATACAGGGATCGGCTCCTTTGTCTAAAAGATAATTTACAGCTTCAATCTTGCCACAAGCTGCAGCCAACATCAATGGTGTCCTTCCTTCACTATCTTTTGAATCGACATCTAGACCACGTGACATTAGTGTCTCGATGATGGTGACATTACCACCCTGTGAAGCGGCGTGCAGTGAATTTCTTCCTAACTGGTCTCTAATACAGGGATCGGCTCCTTTGTCTAAAAGATAATTTACAGCTTCAATCTTGCCACATCTTTTGAATCTGCAGTCTCCACCATCAATGGTGTAATTCCTTCACTATCTTTTGAATCGACATCTAGACCACGTGACATTAGTGTCTCGATGATGGTGACATTATCATCCTTTGAGGCGGCGTGCAGTGGAGTAATGCCAGAGTGGCCTACAATAAAGGGATCAGCTCCTTTGTCTAAGAGGTAATTTACGGCATCTCTTTTGCCAGTCGAAGCAGCTAAAATTAAAGCCGTATTACCATCGTTATTTTTTGTGTTGATATCCAGGCCACGTGACAACATATCCTCGATGATGGCAAAGTTGCCAGTCTGCACAGCTGATGACAGTGAGTTCCAATCGTCGCCTGCTATCGTCTGAGTGTCACGTTTATCTGAAAAAAAAAGATAAATGAAAAAAAATTTCACAGCAGAAGAGACATACCTCTCCGTATTTTGTAATAATAAGAACGTTTATACTCAATATATAAAAATAGACAGTCAAAGATTGCATTTGGCTTCTGATATAAAACAATTTTTAGAGCATTGGAAAGAACTAGAGGTTGTATAATGACGAAAGAATATAGTTTTGCTGGGGTTCGCTCAAAAGCCTTATGGTTCCCCTATCCTCTGAGCCCCAACAATGTTACTTATGCTTCTTATTATTTTATTGCGATTCCATTTTTTGAGACATTTTTCTTCATACAAAACGGCATTCCGCGTTTTAGGATATTCCGTCATTATGCCGATCCACCGTTCTTCCATTCCATTTTTCAGTTATATAATTCAAGGTATCGTATCTCGCAGCTTGCTCGCTTCGCAAATTGAGCGGCTCTATTCGGCATAATAATAATAATAATAATAATAATAATAATAATAATAATAATGATAATAATAATAATAATAACTGCGGGCGACAAGAGGAGCAAGCAATCCTAATCTCAACGTTGCTTTTACAAACGCATGCGGGCAGGTGTGTAGTTTGGCCCTGATTCGATTTTTGCTCAAATAGTGAGTCTACCACTAAGAATGTATGGAATGCAAAGAACGCTATTTTCTCACGCGCATCATGTGTAATTTGGACCTTGGAACACGTGAAGCTAACGCATAGCAGCAGCGCCGACCAATCCAAATCAAGCGTGTCGATATCTGGATTCGACGTTTCCGTTCATGTCGCGTTGGATGCCATTTCTCGGCCGCATTCCGCCTCGGGCGAGTAGCGAGAGTGTTGTTCGTCTGTTAGTCCTTGACCTCAGGCGTAGAGAGAGAGTTGTATCTGTTCGTCCTTTAATTCAAGCGTGGAGCGTCGGTATTGTTCGTCCTTGACCTGACAAGCGTATAGTCTGAGATTGTTGTCTTTGATCTCATAGAAGCGTGGAGCGAGAGCGTTGTTCGTCCTTCAGTCCTTGGAACGGGATCGTTTATATATTATATTTTGGAATAATCTGAAATTTCTTCATATATTGGTCGTTTCGTTTCAGTAATAAATAAATAATTGTTGCATTACATCAATCATTTTGACTCGATCAATACGCGTATTTTATAACCTTCAGTGATTTTCTTTACACCATGAAACAACAACAATTACAGCATATTACTAAAACTAAGCAAAACAAAACAATGGGACTAGTGTCTCGTGGAATGATCTAGTGTTGGTAACTGTTTCACAGGTTTATTAAAATCACCCTATTGTTAGTGTCAAAATAGAGGAAAAAGCGATTGGAGCATGGGGGGTGTCCTCATGGACTAAATTTTCAACCCCGCTAAATCTTTCATTAACCAAATAGCCAAAAATGCATCGTCCTCGCCCGCATTTCCTAACCTTTGGTTATTACTAGTAATAATAATAATACTTAGCAAGGTAATTTGGTATTATCAACTGAGTTGATAAGTTTAACGTAAATTGGCCATCGTTAAGGGTTTCAAAGCTGACGTTTCGAGCGTTAGCCCTTCGTCAGAGCGAATGAAGGAATTGTGGCTCCTGTGTGTGTTTCTATGCAGAAAATGGATCAACGCTTTTGGTGGGAACATGGTAACTAGCATAGATAAGTTGAACGAAAAGTGTTCGTTGATAACCTGGGACTAAGAGTGCCGATTTGAAAGATAACTTCTTTTGTTCGAGGGTTCTGCGGCATTCAAAGAATAAGTTTCACCTTCTATACAGAACATTTCAAACACGGTTTCCAGCATTTCACGAAGAATGATAACGGTTTTTTTTGCTGTCATCACAACAAGATCAAAAACTAAACAAGAACAGAATGATAGCTTTTTACATAGATTCTAAGAGTATAAAGCATTTCTGTAAACTTTTAACTAAGTCACGTGATTTCTTACATTTCAATTTTGATCGTTTGACTGATCGATGTAAACCAAAATATAATGAAATGTATATGTATTCTTGAGACATGGTTGAGTCAATCTTGATATGACATTTAAATATCGCATTGGATTGATTGACTTAACCATCACTATTGGGCAGTCGTTTTGAATTCGATGAATATCAATAGAAATCAATAAACTATTGGTTTGGTGGTGTTTGTTGGATCCAGAGTGACTGCTTAGCAGTGTCTGAGATATATTGCTGTATTATTTAAAAGGAGTTGAACATATTTTTCATATTTTTAAATAAATTTATAAATGCTATTATATATTAATATTTTTATGTTATTATTGTAACACGACCCCACAAACCTCTGGCTTTAAATACTTATCGCGTTTAAATAAAGTTTTATTATTATTATTATTATTATCATCACGGAAACTAAGCTTGGTAATTTTGACTTTTCGATACTGACCACCGATATCCACGTCAAATTCAGATGGTGCTCCTTCAGTTCCCATACCGCTGTCAGATGCTTCAGACATTAAACTTTTCGTCTCAAACTGTAGACTTTCCACGTACATTTTGGTAAAATTCCATTTATGTTCGTCAATGCCCCGTGGCTTTTCTCCAAGTCTTTCGTAACTGGCATTCTGAACTGAAAAAAAAAACATAAAGAAACAAAATGTTTTGCCTAAAAATGTCATTTTAGAGTAAAAATGTATTTAGGTGTTTAGAAACTTTTTGGATGTTTAACAGTTTACCGTGGGAGCAGGTTGAAGATGGAAAAACTTTAGGAAATAAACTATAGCGCTCCTCGCAAGCTTTCCGCGTGCGGTCGAGGTATAATCACGAGAATACAAGCTGTTCACAATCTCTTGGTATAATCTACTCTCGCTTTTATTAATTTAATCATCAAATTATCCGCGTACATGTACATATCTCATTTGATATATTACAAGGCTAGAATGTCTAAATGCATTGTCTCTGAAAAGCCTTTGTAAGGAAAGTCAGTAAAGCACAGATATTTGCGAGCATGTAAGGAATGAAATCTCGAAAGGCCTTATCTGTTTCAATTCGGTTATAAATAGTTTTAACGAATCTCAGTTTTTCTTTCGTTGAAGGAATTTGGTTGTGACACGAAAAAGTTTACCTGATACCCCCCCTCCCACCAAGCTCCTTTGTATCCTTATGACCCCCCTCTCCTTGGTGGCAATAAAATGGCAGACAATTTTCTACAGTACCCCATTTTTTATATCCTGTTGGTAACGACTGATCCCCCATAAAAACCATGTGTTCCCCCCAGAAAATCCTCCACTAACTAAGGATAATCTTTCAAGTAAAATTCAGTCCATGTTAATCTCCCAAAACCAATGTTAATAGTACTTTCACAATTATTTGTCAGTCATGGCATAAAATGGCGTTTTTCCAAGGTTTTTATCATACTCATACCTATGTATTTAGCAGTTAACCTGTATTAAGCGCCAACCCCGTCATTCCCTGTGACCGCTTAATATAGGTTTGACTGTATATATATCTTGTTTAGCTTATCTTGAGTGTTTGCATGATCTAGTTACCTTCCTCTGCTGGAATTATTTCCGTGGCCATCCTTGTCCCAAAAACCTCACGTGAAAGTCTGGTCATTTGTTTCTCTTGACTCTCCGCTCTCTCCTTTAGGAGTTGGACATCATTCTCGAGTCTTTTCACTTTTACTTGCAATGTTTCATCCTCGTTCATCAAACTATTAGTATCTGCATGGATTGCACAATACAACTACTGTACACTTACTCATAACAGAAGCCTAAGTAAACCTAGAAATGGATAACTTGCTAAAATGGGTTCTTTTCAACATAGTAAGCGGTCAGATAACAAGCGATGCACTGTGAAAGTAGGGTGAGGTTTTTTTTTATAGAGATTTTGACTTTCTTTTTTTGTTCCTAAGAGCGATCGTAAACATTCCCATACAAACTATTATAATTTCGCCATGACTCGTATTTCGCAAGATGATCATCACACAGCTGGAGCTTGGGTTGCCTGTACGTATTCTGATCAAAACTCACTAAATTTCAGTTGGTGAAGGACATAGTTGACTGTAAGTATTTGCATTGCCTCTTATTTAGACATAATACAGAATCGAGTGCAAGAGACCAGAGAGATGTTATCTTTAATAATAAACGATGACATCGCTCGCATCCTAATTAAACGCATCTTCTAAGTGCTTAATATACAGGGCTCGTAATATCAGCAGCGACATCCAAAATAAATCAAATCATTGAGGAGTCTACCACCAATATGGCCCTTTATCCTCACATTGGCGATTTAACAAAATAACCGATAACAATATTTAACAGATGGTTCCAGAGAGTTAGCAGATCTTATGAATAAAACTTAGAAACCGTTTTGTATCCAATAGATTGGTCAGTGGATCGAAGATTTGGCACCTAAAATATTACAGTTTTTACTTTATTTTTTGGTCTGATATTTCCTCTATATTAGAGCCGATAGAGATATTCGTTTACTTTTTAATCAGATTGTGACATTTTACCATTTAATATCCCTTCTCGCATAGCTGGAGAAAAAAATCCTTTAATTGCATAGTTACCTTTCTCAAATGAAACCATTTGAGTCTCTACAGCTTCTATTCTTTCCTCCAGAGACTTGACTTGGTTCTTAAGTTGTGCTATTGTTATCAGAGAATTTTCAGCTGTTCTGGGTGGGAGAGATAACACTGAGTCGGAGTGCCTACGATCACCTCGTTCCGGAGGTCGCTTCTGGTTACCTAATGGTGGTCAGAGAATCATTTTGATTATTTTTAGATCTATTGTAGTGTTCATACCTGACACACGCACACCCACGCACCCACCCACACACGATAAGGGGAAGATGCAGGATTTAGTGAAGGGGAGTTCAGATAAATGTCCACTGAAAGCGGACCATTCAAGAGCGGCTGGGGGTATGCATCCCTCGGAAAATTTTTAAATGGGATCAACAAGTAATATTTTCCTGGCATATCCAATTTAAGGTTTTTGTAAAAAAAACTGCAAGTGTTTTCAGGTTTTCATTTCAGTTTAGGAGGTTCGGCCGAGTCACCCGAACAACCGTAGATCCGCTAAAGAAATTCACTACGCCATGGTTTGCAATTAAAGAACTGAATTCTCCTCCATATTTCGTGTCCGTTATTTCAGTGATTGAATATTAACCTGAATACCGAAAATAGAATGGGCTGTCAAAGTTTACTTCCCTTAATTAATGGTATTGCTTCGGAAATTAAAAGTTAAAAATTGCCAGCAACGATAACGTCGAGTCGAACAAGGCAATGATCTTATTCCACAGTTAATTGTTTGGCCAATAAATTATATCTATCGGATTTACTCAAAACAGCCCTTGTTCATAGCTTAATGTGGTTGAAGCAGCAGCAAAGCTGTGCAATTAAACCTCTTCCTCTTGTTACTGAACAGCTAAATTCCTACACTTCAACAACCAAAACAAAATTAAGCGTGAAATATAATGAGCCAATGAGACTGACCAGCCCAAGTTGGCAAATTAAAATGAAGGAGATTGCAAGTGGGTAGGTTGCTCATGTATGCACTGCTTCAGCCTGCAAAAGGATAATGATTGCAATTGACTGGTCCAAGTCGGAAATGTTTTCTTTCGCTATTCAATAATCTATGATCTATCACTTAATTTATGAAGCAAAATTTGACAAAAAAGTTGTTTAAGTATACAATAACGCAAATTGAGCCAAAATCGAGCAATCCATACAGTGATAGTTTTTTTTAACTTTTGCTATTGAAGCAATAACCCCGGAGGAGATCGGCCTCCGAGCGTACAAAAGATGCAGAATAAAAAGATCCCCAGTGTTGTTGATTTTAAACACGCATCAACTTTGTTTTAATTAACATCCTCAGATAAAGTTACTCACCGTCAGCTTCTTGAACAAGCTCAAAGTAAGCTTTCTCGTATTCTGCTTTTTCAATCGTCACAGTCAATTCCACATTCTCTTCACCACCGGCACGGGTCTTCATTTCATCATTCACAAAAAAGTTAAATAAACGTTCCTTGAGCGTGCCATCCTCGTACATGTTCCACAAAGCAGTGAGCCCCATGAGATTGTCGACCTGAATTGTAAAGCATACGCACCCTTGACCCACTTCAATCAATCTTGAACCAGCAGGAAGTACACAACCCTGGAAGCTGGTGACTAACTGATCATAAGTTGACCAGCGAGTCAAAATCTCACGGACAGTGAGTAAGGTTATTCCCGCTGCTGCCACTCCAAACACTGTCTTCATGTTCAGTACTGAAACAAATGGCACTAAATTAAATTTTGAATGTTGATATTTAAAATCATTTTTGGTGGTAGTCTGGCGAAGATCATTGTAAACAAGCTGGAAAAGAACCGTAAGAGGTGACAAAATATGACTGTCAAACATCGAGGGATTTTGTTTTGCATTACTTGAATCCGCTGACTTTTTTTTTTTTTTTTTTTTTTTTGTAGTTTACGAGAAAACATACCGTCCCTGACGACGTGATCGCGCGGTTAACCCAAATTAATCGCAGTCCGATGCAAATTATGTCCAAATAAGTGTCTGCGGAACTATGTTATCTAAGAAGCAGACTGTCCGCTTTTGATTTACCTCTGGGTTCATTTTTGGGAAATATGACTGTAGAATCTTAGAAATCTCGCTCGAATGGTATTCTTCAGCTTGAAACAAGCATTTCAGCCTCGTGACCCGCATGGACTAATCGGAAGCGAGCAAATAGGCTTAATGGATATAACAGACTAACAACAACTTCGCACCCAGAAGCAAAACATTGATCAATAAAATGCTTCGTTTACTTCATACCCAGGCGGTGTGCGCACTCCGATTGCGTTGCATTTTGGTAGCGTTATTTTAAATATGGCGGTGAAAGCGGCAGAATTCGAAATCGGCAGATTTTGACTTAACGTTTTGTAAAAGTTAGGCCGTTCCTTTTTTCTTTCACCATAGATACATGAACTTTGATTGATTCTGAATGTGTAGAAGCACACGCGGCCCAAGCTTCAGTAGTGAGATGATCATCTTGCGCAATAGCAGTCATGGCGGAATTATAAGAGGTTGTCTGGGAATATTTACGACCGCTCTAAGGAATAAAAAATACAGTCAAATTCTCAATAAAAATACCTCACCTTACTTCCATAGCGTATCACTTGTTATCTGACCGCTTACTCGGATCGGGCGTTCGGAAATGGAGTGTTCAGCCTTGGGCTTTTCTTAGGTACGTAGAAGACCTTGAAATGGACAACTCGCTAAGATGGGTTCTTTTCATCAAAGTAAGCGGTCAGATAATAAGTGATACGCTGTGGAAGTAAGGTGAAGTATTTTTTGCACGTATTTGTCGCGTATTTAATGGTTCTCGAGGGAAATATATATAACGGCGTAATATATATGTAAGATTTTACGCTAGTACACAGCGTTACCAATGTTATTCCTATATATGCTCAACCGCGCTGTAAATCAACTTTCCTATGTAAAAGCAAATAAACTAATCACGAGTATTGTATGGTAAAGTCTACTATCTTGATCATTGAAGAAAAACAGTTGAATTAGAGCAGTGAAAGGAATTAGTTGACCAATAAATAACTCTACATTGCGCAAGGCGACACGTCGGGTTATAGCCGAGAAACTGCAAATAGCAGTCGACCGTTAAAAGGTGTTGATAGGCTTGTGTGACTCTTGCCATTCGCCAGCTATAGCGCTTTGAAATCTTCTGCCCTCAAAGTCTAGCTGCTATAAGGTTATCTTTTAACGATTTTCCTTCGCGATGTGATAATTAGGGTTAGTTTTAAGGTGTCATTTCCCCATCTGTATGTTCTTGAGGTTTGGCAAAGGTGGATGAGACTGTGTCACGAACGGCAATATAAATTTTTTTCTGCGTGCGTCTGTTGTATGAAAGTATACTTTCTCTTCCGCAGAAAATGACTGCGGAGATACGTTTCTCAAACCTTCACATACGTATCCTCTATTCTTTATGTGTATCATGAAACTCTGTACGTTTTCTATTAAACGTGGAGCGTGACGAATTCGTTCTTAGCAGGCGAAGGGCTTCTTTTACGAATCTCGTATTTACGCCAAGTGAATGACACGAAAAAAAAATCGTGTAGTAAAAGGTCTTTGTTATGCGTTTAATATATAACTCGCGTCTAAGGGCCTCTTCATATGAGCCCGGTAACCGGGCTGGCCCGGTTACCGGGACGAATTTTGTCGTCTGTTCATATGGGAAATTTCAGCCCGGTTACCGGGATGAAAAAGAGTCGAAAAGGGCGCGAAACGTGGACTGAGGCCCTGGGAACGAGTTTGAGCGCGAAATTCAAGAAAGTAAACAAAGATGGCGCCACGTTCAACAGTTACATCGTTCGCTCCCATCGTAGCGTTATCAACGCTCGTAGCTCTAGTGCTACAACTTCACGGGGTCCTTTTGCTATGGAAAATACATCAAACCAGGCAGATTGATGCAATCCGGATCGGCTTGTTGCGGAAGAAAAGTTATTTCTTCCGAAATGTAAAGCAGCTGAAGCAGAGAGATTTGTACAGAAAAAAACGAAGTTGTTGGCATAAACCCGGTCGAACTGACTTGTGGTGGAAAAACATCTGGACGGGAGTAGCACCTGAAGAATGTTGGAAAGAGAACTTTTGGATGTCAAGGGCTGCTTTTGTGAACCTGGTATCGGAGCTAAGGCCATACATTTCACCAAAACCAAAGTCACCTAACCACAGGGCATTGAGTGCAGAAAAAAAGGTTGCAGTTGCATTGTATTTTTTAAAAGACACTGGTTCCCTGAGAATGACAGCCAATAGTTTTGGAATAGGACTCAACACTGCATCAGCTGTTGTAAATGAGGTTTGTCAAGCTATTTCAAACTATCTTGGCCCGAAATATCTCCATCTTCCTGAAGATGAAGAAAGCATGAGGGAGAAGGTAGCAGAATTTGAAGCCAAATTTGGCATGACACAAGCTTTTGGTTGCATTGATGGGACACACATTCCAATTCAGTGCCCATCAGAGAACTCACAAGATTTTTTCTGCTATAAACAGTTTTTTTCATTAAGTGTGCAGGCTGTGTGTGACTATAAAGGCTCCTTCATGGATGTTGAATGTAAGTGGCCTGGAAGTGTCCACGATGCAAAGGTTTTTGCCAATTCTTCCATCAGTGCCAAATTAAGAAGTAATAAATTGCCCTGTACATTTCAGACTCCAATTCCAGGTGGTGTCAAAATACCTAATTACCTCATTGGTGATCCAGCTTATCCATTGCTTCCTTTCTGCATGAAAGAGTATGATTCATGTACCAGTAATGAACAAGTTGTTTTCAACAACATGCTGCGTTCTGCCAGGAACCAAATTGAATGTGCTTTTGGCCGGCTTAAAGCAAGATGGTCCATACTCACTACAAAAGTGGACTTCAAACTTGAGGCAATACCAACAATTATTTATGCATGTTTTGTATTACATAATTATTGTGAGAAGCATAACATGTATGTTGATCAGGACTTGGTTGACTCGCAAATTCAACTTATGAAGGAAAATGAAGATCAGTTTAAAAACACTCCTGATCCCATTTACTCTTGTGATGTGGGAGAAGGGAGTGTTGTGAGGACAACACTCACACAATTAGTACTGAAGAATCTTTAACGTAGTACTTAAACTTTACCCTATTTACATGTATTGCTGTACTTAGTTTAATTAACTTAAGGGGGGAGACCCTTAAATACAAAATGCATGCTATGGATGACTTCTAACTGTCATATTTTGAGCTCCCTTAGTATCCTTGATTTAGTTTTTGGCCATATTTGTTCTATAGGAGGTCGCCTTCACTTTTGGTAGTCATGATCATATTTGGTAAGTCACGTAACCATAACACAAAAACCGTATAAACTCACACAGCTTACATCTTTCCCCAATGAAACAAAAGCCAACGGGTAGAGTGCATTCAGGTGCAAAATTTGTAGAATGGATTTGTTAAAATGTATGTTATTGAAGAAGCTATGACATCACAAAAACTTAATGACGTCATAGCTTTTTCAGTAATGCGAATTTTAACAAATCCATTCTACAAATTTTGCATTTGAATGCACTCTACCTGTTGGCTTTTGTTCCATTGGAGAAGGATGTAAGCTGTGTGAGTTTATACG